GTGTGTGTGTTGCCTCTTCAGGGCTTTTTCCAGTATAAACACTGATCTTGCCTGGACTAGTCGTCCTCATTCGGGACCAAAGCTGCTTGTTAAGGTTAGGTGTAAGATGTGAATTGTGGTGAGGTTAAGGTTAGGCAGCTATTGGTCTTGGTTAAAGTTAGGGATAAGGGTTTACAGTATTTAGGCTGTCCAAAATGAATAGAAGTCAATGAAAAGTCCCAAGAAGGGGAAGCTGGTTATACTTGTGCGTGTATTTGTGTGTGACGTCAGAGGGGGGGGAGCAGGGAGAGAGGATGGGAGCACATCCTCCTGTTGTTTGGGTGGACTCCACCAGTCCCCTGCTGTGAGAATATAATAGCTGATTAAAGGGAAAAAAAGTCCTTTTGCTTTGATAACTCAAAATTCTTTCAGGTTCACCGACGAGATGCAGATCCTGATTTCTGCTGTTCTCTCTCTCTCTCTCTCTCTCCACTCTCTCCTTCATGTGAGTGTAGTTCAGATTCGCAGACAGTTTGGACATTTTCATGATCCTGTGTGGGACGGTGATGGCCATGGCCAACGGGGTCGTGCTTCCTCTCATGTTTATTGTGTTTGGAGACATGACTGACAGCATGGTCAATTTTCCTTCTGGCGGCTATGAAAACATCACAGCAACTTTCCCCAGTGAGTTTTCAGTTACAGGCATCACAGGCACACATCCTGTAATTCTGATGATTGAAATAAATGAAGAGCTCTGACACTTTTTAAACCATGTTTTTTGTTACCTTGTCTCTTTAGATTTCACCATAATACAACAAAACAACACCCTACAAGAGGACATGAATGTGTAAGACTACAGTTGATGATCTTGTCTTTTATATTTATAGTTTGCGATCAAACAATTTACACTTCTTCAACTCTAATCAGATCAAGTATTAAAGTCATATTTGTCACAATGCTTCCCGTCTCCCAGCTATGCCATCTACTACTCCATCATGGGAGCTACCGTGCTGGTGGCAGCGTACCTGCAGGTGTCGTTGTGGACCATGGCGGCCGGGCGACAGGTCAAACGAATCCGCAAGCTGTTTTTCCACCGCATCATGCAACAAGACATCGGCTGGTTCGACGTCAATGAAACGGGAGAGCTCAACACACGTCTCATAGAGTGCGTACCAGAGAACCACACGCTCACAGTTCTAATTTCAGTCTGAATATAATACTGATGTGAGTGCAACTAACAGAGAAAATACACATCTTCCCACAGAACAGTGTCACAATCAGCAAAAATTTTTTTATTACCTTTGCCAAGTAGGTTTTCATGTGAGTCTTTTTGTTAGTTAGCTGGATTATACAAACAACTACTTGACCTATTATCACGAAACTTGGTGGAAGTATGTGATATCGAACACATAAGAACTGATGTAATTTTGGTGCTGATCTTGATCAGGAGTCGTATCCAGGATTTGTTTTTGTGCTTTCTCTTACATTGCGACACGTTTTATGAATTTCTAAATCAATAATACACAAAAAATGCATATTTAGGAGACAGATATATATGAGTGTGTGTAACTTTGTCCAGCTGGATTAAATTTAAAGGGTCATTAAATGTAGTACTTTGACGATCATTAGTGGTAATGTGGTTTATATTTCCACGCTTTAGTGATGTCTATAAGATCCAAGAGGGCATTGGCGACAAGGCCGCGATGCTGATCCAGGCCTTCACCACCTTCTTGTCATCCTTCGTCATTGGCTTCACCAAAGGCTGGAAGCTGACTCTGGTCATCCTGGCTGTGAGCCCTGCACTGGGACTTTCAGCTGCACTTTTCAGTAAAGTGAGTTCATAATGTTTCTCTCCATGCTTTACTCAAGCGTTCTCTTGCTGTCCATGAACATTCATGTCGATCACAAAGCTTCCGCTGCTATCAGTAATGACATGAGTTCCTTCTCGTCTGAATAGGTGCTGACGAGCTTCACGAGTAAAGAGCAGACTGCATACGCCAAAGCAGGAGCTGTGGCAGAGGAGGTGCTCTCTGCAATCAGGACAGTGTTTGCCTTCAGTGGTCAGGACAGAGAGATCAAGAGGTGTGTACATTGTGTTAAACAGAATCTGTACTCGCACATGAGCAGGAAACACTACATTTGACTCTATTCTTCACTAACGTCCATAAAATGCTTTAAACACACCCAGCCAGTGTGCCCAGGGTCACATTGCTATGAAAAGATGCGTATGAATCAAGCCCATAGAAAATGAATCTGTGTTCCTAATTTGCTTTCCATAGGAGTAGCACTCACATGATCCTTAGTTTAACGTATGACCTTTCAGAGCTTATAAAAAGGGCTTTGATTAAAACTGTGAGAAAGACAAAGACACACACACACGCACCTACATACAGCCTGTGATAGCAAGAAGCTATCTCTGGACCCCTCTCTACACCACACCATGTTCCTTAGCAACCCACCAAATAAGTAACACAACAGAAAGACCCAACTCCTGATTGAGATTCTTCATGGAGTGGTTTTGTGTGTGTGTGTGTGTGTGTGTGTGTGTGTGTGTGTGTGTGTGTGTGTGTGTGTGTGTGTGTGTTGCATCACAGATATCATAAGAACTTGGAGGATGCTAAGAGGATGGGAATAAAGAAGGCGCTGTCTGCGAACATTTCCATGGGCTTTACCTTCATGATTATCTACCTCTCCTATGCCCTGGCCTTCTGGTATGGCAGTACTCTCATCCTGAGCAATGAGTACACCATTGGGAGTGTACTCACTGTGAGTAGACACATCTCACAATCTCTAATTATATATTTTTCCCATTAAATATAAAGGAGATTCTGGTGCAGCTCAGACTCTGTGTGTGTGTGTGTGTGTGTGTGTGTGTGTGTGNTGTGTGTGTGTGTGTGTGTGTGTGTGTGTGTGTGTGTCTTCAGGTGCTCTTCGTGGTGCTTATCGGAGCGTTCACCATGGGACAGTCCTCCGCCAACATCCAGACTTTTGCCAGTGCCCGGGGAGCTGCACATAAAGTGTACAGCATCATTGATCATGTAAGGAATTAAAAATGTTGAAGTATCTACATTACAGAAAATACCATTGTTCTTTCGTCTCTCTGCTGCTGTACACTTGTCAGTTTTTATCTCTAAACATGCATCGCTGAACTCTGGCACTGTAGGTCGTCGCTTTGAAACAGCCAAAAACCTTGAGTCAGTAATGAGATGTTGGCTTTTTGCTCTAATTTGAGCACATGCTGTGTGAAGGAAGACTGCAGGTCATTCTGGTTGATATCACACAACTGTGGTTCAAAGTCCTTCCTGAACCAAAACCAACTCGGTTACAAAAAAATTGTTCAAACCTGAGCAGTGTGACTAACGTCAGATTGAAATAAATAAATAACGCACCACTATCACACATGTGCATATATTCCTTGTTATGGAACTGACCTCTTCCAAAGTGTGGTCCAAGAAACTACAGAAACCTTTAGCACAACCAAGACTTGGCTGAGAAACACATCTGTTTATGCTTGAACACAAAAGTGAAAAACCTGGAGGCTAAAAGAGGTTGAATTATTTGATCCATGTTCCCTGTGAACACTCTGCTGTATTTATTTAACAGTCTTGAATTTTCTAAACTCAACCAGGGTGCCCGTGTGTGTGTGTTAGCCCACAGAGACAAAGAGCTGTGGAAATAAACATTTGTTTCATTCAATACACTCACCCTAACCTGGTGTGGGGGGGGGGGCAGCCTTCCTCCCATTGTCTGTTTGAAGTTATGATAATAATCAGGTTCTTTATCCCACTGTGTCTGAACTACAAACCAGAACGGAGCTGAATTTTAGAAGTGAATGAAAATATTCCTGACTCTCAACAGAAACCGAGCATTGACAGCTATTCGGAGGCCGGCTTCAAGCCTGACTTCATCAGAGGAAACATCGAGTTTAAGAACATTCACTTCAGCTACCCTACGAGACCGGATGTCAAAGTATGTTCCCCTACAGACACCTGCAGACATTCAGTTACATCTAACAGTATCTGATATTTAATCTTTTCTTATCATTCATAGATATTAAACAACATGTCTCTGAGCGTGAAGAGTGGACAGACCATGGCGTTAGTGGGCAGCAGTGGCTGTGGTAAAAGCACCACAGTCCAGCTGCTGCAGAGGTTCTACGATCCACAGGACGGATCTGTGAGTGATGTTTCTAAAGCTTTTCATCGTTATTATTGATGCTGATACTAATTTATGATCGCACTCCAATAACTTAAAAAACAAAGGTTATAGCACTCGGTTAAATGCAAACCTCCAACAGTTCTCTTTTAAAACCACAGTTGGATTCATTACATCTGCATTTTATCTAGATCCGCACCAATTTGCACAAGCTGATAAATATCAGTCCCTTAAACAGCCTGATTTCTCTTAGAAATCTATGAAAATGTTGAAAAACGCCTCACAATGTTAAAGAAAGATCTGGATTTACTGCCACATACTGCATCCTTCCACCAAGTTTTGTGGATCCACCAATAGTTTTTGCATATCCCTCCTTCATTGTAGGTTTTTGTTGACGGCCACGACATCCGTTCTCTCAATGTCCGCTACCTGAGGGAGATGATCGGCGTGGTGAGTCAGGAGCCCATCCTCTTCGCCACCACCATCACTGAGAACATCAGATACGGCCGCCTGGACGTGACGCAGCAGGAGATCGAACAAGCTGCCAAGGAGGCCAATGCTTATGACTTCATCATGAAGCTTCCCGATGTGAGAACATAGTCAAGACTCCCTGTTTGTCTGTGCTTATTAAAAACATTGTGCACCACTTGCTAACGCTGAGAATTTTACTGTTGAGCAGAAGTTTGAGACGTTGGTCGGAGACCGAGGGACTCAGATGAGCGGCGGACAGAAGCAGAGGATTGCGATCGCCCGCGCTCTCGTCCGCAACCCCAAGATCCTTCTGCTGGACGAAGCCACATCTGCTCTGGATGCTGAGAGTGAGACCATTGTGCAGTCTGCACTCGACAAGGTGCAAACACACGCAGTCGGTGGCACAATTTACAAGATATGCAATTAAAATCTAAAAATGAATTAGACTACTATTAAATACAATGTCACAGAGCCACTAGGATGGTTGTTAACTCTTAGCTTTGTCACTTACACTGTTTTCTGACATGAAGAAAAAATTCCAGGAATTTGGGTCTGGACATTTTCCAGAGTTTGCCGTTCACATAATGAAGAATACATCAGGAGATTGTCTGGGGGAGACACGTTCACATCAACATCAACCTTGCCATAAATAATTTAAATTTATGGGCAGGATGGTGTTTGGGTAGAGCAGGCAGGAGTCTTGGATATGATGTTTTCAGTGTCGGCCATCATCGCCTAAAGCTCTTGAATCTCATTATCTTTCCAAGTTGATACCTTCATCAGCTTCTTCTACGTGTATCACAACTCTTTTTCATCCTGAGATATTTACGTTCTTCCAGCGTTACGTCCGTCTCATGTCTCTTCCACTCGCTCACTTTGAATTTCCTGGACATTTTCCTGCTGTAATCTCACATGTTGTACATAAATCAAAATTTCAGCTCCTTCTTGTAAATCTAATTATTGCACACAGGTCCGACTGGGTCGCACCACCATCGTTGTGGCCCATCGCCTCTCGACCATCAGAAATGTTGACGTCATTGCTGGGTTCCAGAACGGTCAAGTTGCCGAGGTGGGCACTCACAGCCAGCTGATGGAAAAAAAGGGAATCTACCACACACTGGTCACCACACAGGTAACACGCACACACACACACACACACACACATTGACATTAGGTCTCAAAACCAAATTCAAAGTGGACTGTCCTTCATATTGATTGTGTTTCCTCCACTCTCTCCTGACCACAGACGTTTCAGAACGTCAAGGAGGGGGAGGAAGCAGAGGAAGAGCTGTCGACGGAAATGAAGAGCCCATTGGCCAATTCCCTCAGTGAGTCCACTCTGTACAAGAGGAAGACCACGAGAGGCTCCTCTGTTTCTGCGTCAGAGGGAGAGAAAGAGGAGAAAGAGAAGTCTGACAAGAACGAGACAGAAGAGGTGAGCTGTGGTGGAACATCAGGATTTTAGAGACACAGCAGTACTCTCCCCTTGTTTATTTGTCCTTGCTATGGAACCAATGACTATTGCTTTGTGCAGTTCTAAATGTTATGATTCTTTCCATAGAAATAAAACGGTGAGGAAGATGAATAACGAAAATGTGACTCAGCTCTTCTCTCTCCCTCTCTACCTGCAGGATGAAAACGTGCCCCCCGTGTCGTTCCTCAAAGTGCTGCGTCTCAACCTTCCAGAGTGGCCGTACATCTTGGTGGGGACCATCTGTGCCATCATCAACGGCGCGATGCAGCCAGTGTTTGCCATCATCTTCTCCAAGATCATCACTGTAGGTTACTCTCAGTGCACCATGGACGTTATTCAGTGTCTCTCATCAGTTAAAATGCTACAGATGAGATGTTTTCTTCTCCTCTCAGGTTTTTGCAGAGACAGATCAAGAACTTGTCAGACAGAGAGCCACATTGTTTTCCCTCTTGTTTGCTGTTATCGGAGGTGTATCATTTGTCACCATGTTTCTACAGGTATGCATGTTTATGCACACATGTTAACCTACATATAATTGTCGATTGTGTTCATTGGCTTCAAAGTAGTGTGACACAGATTGACACTATGTCCAGCTGTGCTAATGTCTTCTCTCTAAATGGTCTTTACAGGGTTTCTGTTTTGGTAAATCCGGAGAGATTCTGACCCTCAAACTGAGACTCAGTGCGTTCACGGCCATGATGAGACAGGTGAGCACACCAACCTGACTTGAGAGACCTCAGACCTACTCTATTAACGACCCATACGTCACTTCATGAAGAAACCAGAGGGTCAATATCTGTGGCGGATTTCATGTATTTCCTTGAGTTTAACAACATTTAAATCTGCTTATATTTCCAGCCCCATGCACCCTTATCTTTAAGGCTTTTATAAAGTTTTGATTTAAAAATTACTTCAGTTTAAATTGTTGATAGTATTTAATGTTATATGGAAATAATGTTTTCATTCATTAGGATCTTGGCTGGTTTGACAAGCCCAAAAACAGTGTCGGCGCGCTCACCACAAGACTGGCCACAGATGCTGCACAAGTGCAAGGGGTAAGTCTCAACAACGGTCGCACACACACTCAACAAATCAAAATGTCACAGACGACCATCTCTAAACGCCTGATAAATCCAGTGATCTTGTCGTCTGCTGTGTCTCCCACGTTTTCTCATCTGCTCAGGCCACAGGAGTACGTATGGCCACACTGGCTCAGAACGTTGCCAACATGGGCACCAGTCTGATCATCTCCTTCGTGTACGGCTGGGAGCTGACCCTGCTCATCCTGGCCGTGGTGCCCGCCATGGTGTTGGCTGGAGCTGTGGAGATGAAGCTGCTCACTGGACACGCTGCCGAGGACAAGAAGGAGCTGGAGAAGGCTGGAAAGGCAAGAATTCTCAAAAAATGCTCTTTTTTTTCTGGCGCTCTAAGGAGAGGCACTATTTGTTGACAGTGATGTACTGTAGATTTACCATTTGTGTGTGTGTCTCTACAGATTTCTACTGAAGCCATTGAGAATATCCGAACTGTCGCCTCTCTCACCAGAGAACCCAAGTTTGAGTCTTTGTATCAGGAAAACCTAAACGTGCCATATAAGTATGAGAAGTGACGGAGAAAATCCTACATGTATTTCAATCACATTTCATTAATTTGAAGAGTGTCCCACACGTCTCTCCCTCTCTGTGCAGGAACTCCACGAAAAAGGCTCACGTGTACGGCCTCGCCTTCTCCTTCTCCCAGGCCATGATCTACTTTGCTTATGCAGGCTGTTTCCGATTTGGAGCTTGGCTTATTGAAGAAGGAAGGATGGACGTTCAGGGGGTTTTCCTGTGAGTACATTTTTTTTTGTCAACCAGAGAAGTATTCGTTTCAGATAAAGATGTACAGGCTGGTCGATGAAAGCATGTTATGTCAGACCAAAGCTTTCCTGCTGAGAGGAAAGACTGTTTATTTGCCTTTTAATCATTAACCTGCACTGAGGCATGTGAGAACTGTACCTGAACCTCTGCTGCTGGATCAGACACACACACACACAAGTTGTAGGATGGTCATGTAATTCACTATCATGGCTGGGAGGAGCCTCCCGTCATTTATTTATACTACAAAGAGCCGCTACACTAAGGCATAGCTCAGATTTCATAACGGTTTGAACTCCTGGTGGACAATAAAACTATAAAACATAATATGCAACGTATTATATCAACACATCACATCATCCTCAGATCTCTATCTGGTGTTGGCATGCAATCACATATATT